TTCAGGCTGCTGAGCTCATTCTCCCCCATTCTCTGAAAGAAGTTCTGGAATCGTCTGTGCCTCTGAATGTCACCTGGTACTTATGCTTTGAAATAGCTAAACCAGATTGGTGTAGTGGTGCACTCCTATAATCCCAGCACTTGAGAGGCTGAGGCAGGAGGATCAATGCAAGTTCAAGGCCAGCTCTGGCTGCGCAGCAAGCCCTTGAATCAAAAAGAAAAAAATCTACACCTATCAACCATATATCTGTCACTCAGGCTCACATTTTCTGCAGCTATTTAGAGTAAATAAGACATTCTCAAAGGTTTTTTTAATATATTTAATTCAGGGTCTACAGGGTCTCACTACGCAGATCAGACTCACAGTGATTCTCCTGATTTCAGCCTCCCAAGCACTGGGTTTACAGGCACATGCTGGGCTGGCCAGGTAGCTCAGTGGACTAAAGCGCTGGCTTAGGCAGAGCTCAGTGGCCAGGGTTTGATTCCTGGAGTGCTGCGCCAGTGCCTCTGGCCTGCCCCGGCTCCAGCCCCAGGCGCACTGAGATACTGATTGAGACTGGGCAGGGGGATGCAAATCCCAGCTCTTGGGAGGCTGAAAAACAGGAAGGCTCACTATGAGTCCAATCTGTGTAGTGAGACACTATAGACCTTGTACTAAATACATTAAAAAAAAAAAAAAAGCCAGTCTGCTTTCTGTCATCCGTGACTACCACTACAACTACTACTTCAGACTACCCTATTTAAAATTATTTGTTAGTTTTAGTTTTTGAGACAAAGTCTCCATATGTAGAGCACGACAGCCTTGCACCATTGCATTATGTACCCCAGACTGGCCTTGGACTTGAGGTGATCTTCCTGCCTCAGCAGGCTTTCGCTCATCCATTCTCCAGCTATGTTATATAGCTACTCTTTTTGCTTTTTTCTGTTTTTTTGGCGAAACCGGAGCTTAAACTCAGGCCCTAGTGCGTTCCAGGCAAGCACTTACTCTACTGAGCTATCTCCCTGGCCCCTATAGCTACTCTATGAAACACCTACTTAGATGTGAGACACCATGATAAACACTTCATCCCTCAATCTCCAACAAATATGCCAGCTATGTGTTATTCTTCATTATTCTAATCTTTCACAGAGAAGAAAAGCGGGGCTCAGAAACGCTGCCGTGGTTGGAGGTGGCAGGCCTGAAGCTGAACCTGGCTTGCAGGTCTCTGCACACAGCCCCTCAACCTACTTTACTGTCAATCACGTGCCTTCTGCCTCATATAACGAAAGGTCACTCGGAAGGTGATCTAAACCAACAATAATCTAATTTAGTGAAAAATCAATCTGGGCTGTTTTTTAAATGAATACTTTGTGCACAGAGCTCTCTTCCCAGGTCAATCTAAAAGAGAGCTGGACACTAAAGCTACGTGTACTAACAGCAGTCAGCCAAACCAGGAGTTAAAGCCTTTAAAGACATTCACATTTCTTCCCTGCTGTGTCTCTCTCCAGTGCCTAGGTCAGAGCCCAGCCTGGAATATACACCAAAGAAGAACATCTTGACTATCATTCCCTCCAAATAGTGTGCCCACAGACTCTACCAACACAAAGTCACTTTATTAACTGAAATTTCCTGACCCAAATTAGACCTAATGAGTCACTAGAATAACCTCTCTGCGATAAGACATTCTCTCCAGCTGAACGGCAATGTCATCACCAACAAGCAATTATCAAACACCTCCAGTATTTATTCAGCGTAAGCCCTTCTCTTTCCCCATCAGGTTTGGCAAGCCACAGAGCAGCAGTTGCTCCTCAGGCTGAAGAGACTGAGCGTGTATGAGGGGGGAGGGGTGTAAGACAATACAGACGCAAATACAGACTCTTCCACAGAAGTCTCAGGAGTTCAGCCTTTCCAACCAGGGCACCTCTACTTTCTGAAGCCCTGAAATTGCAGCTATAACAAAACCTCTTCTCCTCAATCCCCAATCCAAAGGGAGAAAATCTGAAATGTCCCTCAGTGTCTGCCATACTAATCCTACTTCACTGAAAAAAAGACACTTTGCTATCCTAGGGTTTATTTACTAAATGTGTCAACATATATTGTCAGAATTTTTCATTAAAACTCTATGTTCACAGGGCCAGGGATATAGCTCAGCAGTATAAGCACCTGCCTGGAAAGCACAAGGTCATGAGTTCAATCCCCAGCACTGAAAGAAAAAAACAAACAAACAAAAAAAAACCAGTGTGTTCACAGAGGTGTACAGAATATGTACGTACTACAGAGAAAATGTACCTGTTAAGAAGCTAAGCATTGACTCATTAACCTTCCTTGTTATTTATTTTTTTTTCTATGTACCAGGGACCAAACTTGAGACCTTGAGCTTACCAGGTAGGCACTTACACTGCTGAGCTATATCCCCAGCCCCACCTTCTTTCTTTTTTTTTTTTTGTGGAACCGGGGATTGAAGTCAGGTCCTTGCGCTTGCCAGGGAAACACTTATGCCATCTCCCCAGCCCCCCTACCTTCTTTCTTATACAGCTCAAAGAAGTGGCTATCTTCGGTTTGGGGAAGTAGTTCAGCAGCATAAGTGCCTGGCAGGCACAAGGTCCCAAATTTGATCCCTGGTACTGAAAAGAAAAGAAAAGAAGGCCAAGGAGATGGCCCAATAGAATAAGCGCTTCCCTGGCAAGTGCAAGGGCCTGAGTTCAATCCCTGGTTCTGCAAAAAAAAAAAAAAAACCAAAGAAAGCGCTCATACTGGAAGGTCCTTTGAACACAGGAGTTTATTTTGTTTATTGAAGAACCGGGGATTGAACTCAGGCCCTTGCGCTTGCCAGGGAAGCGCTTATTCTACTGAGCCATTTCCCAGGCCCCAAACACAGAGGTTTGAGGCCAACCTAGGCTACATACTGAGACCCTCTCTCAAGAAAGAAAGATAAAGATATTAGGAAAGAAGAGTTCATCCCTAGGAGGTTGTAGCTTAGTGGTAGATCATTTGCCTATCAATGCACAAACCACTGGGTTCAATTCCCAGCACAACAAAAACAAATGAAAGCTTTACAACTGTTCATTTTCCTTTTACAATTAGTATATTTAGGCCAGGTGTGGTGGCATACACCTGTAGTACCAGCACTCAGGAAGCTGCGGCAAGAGGATCACAATTTAAAGCCAGCCTGGGCTACAAAGCAACACTCTCTATTTAAATGAGGAAACAGGACTAAATCATCTCTAATCCTAAAATTCTATGTCTACTCAAATTAATAAAACTTTCCTCTGGCTAGTTCATTTTTTTTTTTTTTTAATGTATGTGGTACAGGTCTACAAGGTCTCACTACACAGCGAACTCATAGTGATTCTCCTGTTTTCAGCCTTCCAAACACTGGGATTACAGGCGCGCCACAACACCCAGTCTCAATCGCCATCTCAGCACACCCCAGGGGCGAGCCCACTCAGCACATGAGAGATAGAAAGCCACTGCTGCACTCTGCATAAGCAGGCGCTTTAATCTGCTGAGCTACGTGGCCGGCCCTCTGTCCACTTTTCAATCTTGACACAGAACACACAGATTAACACTACCTAAAAAAGAATATATTCACTTATTCTCAGTAGAGGATCCAAAGGTACTTTCCACCTCTCTCTTCCTGTATGTAAGTGGCTTCAAGCATCCTGTGCAGTGGTTCACTGCATTCTTTTTATCATCTGTTTTTGCTTTTGAGTCTTGCTATGTAGTCCAGGCTGGCCTTGAATTCATCATGCAGCCGCAGCTGGCCTCAAACTCCTGCCTCAGCCTCCAAGTGCTGGGATTACGGGCTTGCAATACCATGCCCGCTGGTTCACTACTCTCTTGACCAAGAACAGCCCACAAAATCATGCAAATCGAGAGGTTCAAGTTTTTGTGATCACTTTAAGACGACCTGTGAAACTCCTCACCCAAGAAACAAGCAAAAATGTGCGCCACTCCAGTGCCACAGTGGTGGAGCAAGCAGGTGCCCAAGTCAAACAGCGGGGCTGGACACAGGCTTGGGTCCCACGCTGACTGAACACACCCACTCCCATGCACACGCGCACAGAACTATCTCCTGACAACCGCTGACCACTATGACCACTATGGATCCCAGAGCTACAAAGGCTGTCTATTGACCGCACCAACTCCACCTTGGAATAAGGATTGGAAACTTCGTGAAAAGCCGGCTCTCGATTCTAGCCATCAGCCTAACAACCTGAGATCATGACACAGGGGCCATCGGTCACTCAGCGGCGGTCGCTCAGCTGCAGCCACAGCTGCAAAACGGTCGCCCTCCTCGTGCCCAAATTACTGAGCGACCTCACAGCGCTTCACAAAGGCAGCAAAGCAGAAGTGGATGTCGGCGGTAGTGTACTTCTCACAGGCCGTCAAAAACCCTCCTCTTCTCAAAGGCAAGGTTGCTGAAACTTTATCCCCAACTCTCCTGACCTTTCTCCAATTAGTCTATAATGAGAAGCCAGCCGACGGAGAAAGGCGCTGGGAGAGGGGCTCACGTCTTCTCGAGGGTGATGCAACAGGATCAGAAAGAAGGGAAGGAGCTAGGAGCCGCCGGGAAGAAAACCAGGGTCCATCCTGGGTGCAAACGGCAGGGCTGCACGAGTGGCCTGGGACGCGGGTCTGGGAGAGGGTGGCGGGTCGTGAGCAGGGGCGGCACGAGGACGGGGGGGGGGAGGGCAGCGGGAAGGGTGGGCGCCGTCGGGGCCTCCGAGGAGCAGGCTGTCAAGGAGCACGCTGTGACCGGCTCCGAGCTGGGGGCCCGAGGGGGAGGACAGCAGGCCGGACCCCAGAAGGACAGAAGGCGTCCTGGGGCTGCCGAAGGAGCAAAGCGGCGGGCCGTGCGGAGGCGGAGGTCCCTGCGGGCCCAGGGCGACGCGACCCAAGCGGCGACAACCACCAGGCCGGCGGGCGGGAAGGAGGGGGGCGGCCCGGTCAGCTGAGCGGGGGAGAAGGACGAAGGGGTCCGCTGGGGCCCGGAGCCGCCGGGACGCTGGCGCTCTCACCGGGACAGGTGCTTCAGGATCTGCTTCTTAATGATCCCGGCCATGCCGGAGCCGGGCCGGCGCCTCCTCAGTCGCGGAGAACGGGCGGCTTCTCACCTCCCCGCGGCGCGGGCCCTGGGCGCCGCCGACACAGCCGCCGCCATGGCGCTCTGTCGCCGCTGCCCCGGCGCGCGGGGATTCGCCAGATCCCACCCACCCGCGCGGCGCCGCAGCAGCCACCCGCCGGAGGAACCACGCGGACGCCGCGCGCCACCCGCCCGCCAGGCGCTCTGCGAGGAGCGAGAGCGCGCGGGGGCCGCGGGGCGCGAGCGCGGGGCGGGGCTGCGGTGATTGGCACGGCGGGGGCGTGGTCACGGCGGGGGCGGGGCAGCAGGCCGCCTCCTTCAGCCCTGTCGCAGCCCGCTGGGTCTGAGAGGCTTCTCCAAACCGCTTGAGGTTCACTCCAGACATCGCCGTGGAGGACGCATCGGGGGACGGCTAGTGTCTCGGGTTTTGCAGCAATTCGCCAGACAGTTCCGCGGCTCCCGGATGGCGGGGTCCACTTCTCTTCCATTTCTCTCACACATACACTCGGTGATTTTTGGACGCCAACTCTACTCCAGCAGTCAGGCTGGGGAGTGGCAAAAGGAGGCCACGACCTCGCCGGCCAGTGGCAGAGAGACGCACATAGGCCACTGCGGTCCTCTGCAAGGGCCTCGTTCTGGAGGGCAGAGCAGCCGGGCGCGGTGGCACACTCTGGTGACCCCATCGCTCGGGAGGTTGAGGCAGGAGGACCACTGTGAGTTCGAGGCCAGCATGGGCTACGAAATGCGTTCTCAAGGTCAGCCTGAACTGCAGAGCAAGAGCTAATCTTAAAAAAATGGAGGGCAGAGAAGGCGCCCCGCTGTCGTGCCCGCCTTAGCCACAGCCCACTAACCAGTGGACAGGAGTTTACCCGAAACCTAAAATCCATGTGCAGAGCATTCCCTCCCAAATAAGCAGAAGAAAATGAAGCGGTAAATTGTTTAAATTAACAAGGACACTTTACAACGAAGGGAACTAAATCTAGAGAAATAGGTGACAGAGCTTGGCCAAAGTCACCTGCTTCTCCCCCACCCCCCCTGCCCTTGAACTCAATATGTAGCCCAGGCTGGCCCTGAACAGGCATCTATCCTCCTGCCTCAGCCTCCCAAATGTTAGCATTATAGACATATATTACCACCCCTGGCTGGATACTTTTTTTTTTTATGATTACTTCTCAAGACTCACAATTTGGGCCAAGGAGATAGCTCAGTAGAATAAGCACTTGCTTGCCTGGCAAGCGCAAGGTCCTGAGTTCAATCCCTGGTACCACTCCCCCCCCAAAACAAGACTCACATCTAGAACCGATGTTCTGAGCCCCTGATCAGTGCTTTTTTTTTTTTTTTTTTCAGAACCTGGGATTGAACTCAGGTCCTTGTGCTTGCCAGGGAAGCACTTATTCCACTGAGCCATCTCCCTGGCCCCAACCAGTGCATTTCTATTCTGGTTTGTCCATGCAAAATGTAACCCATGTCCCAGGTATACTGCTAGGCCCAGCAGCAAAGATGAGCATGAGGTGGTTGGCTAGACTGTAGGCCTCCAGGCAAAAACTTTAAAAAAAGAAAAGAAAGACTGAGGAGCCAGGCTTATGGGAAGCTGGCCAGCAGCTAATTTTAAATGTATTTGTTCCTGTAACCCATGATACTACAGCCATCAAGTCTGTCTTCCTCCTTTGTCAGCTATTCAGATCCCTCCTGCAAAACAACTGTTACCTGATTCCAGAACAGTTTAAGCATGGCCAACCATATAAATTTTTAAAATATAACTATAACCTCAGATACTCTGGAGGTGGAGGTAGGGGAATTTTAGGTTCAAGGTTGACCTGGGAAACCCAAATTTAAAAAGAGCTGAGGGGAGAAAGAGAGTTCAGTGGCAGAGCCCTTACCTAGATGTGTGAGGCCCTAGGGTTGATTCCCACCAAAAAAAAATCAACTTCATTCCTCTGTTTCTTAATCACAGCCAGCTCGGGTTCTTCCCAGAAATCACCTAGAAAGGAAGCAAATCATCCCCATCCCGGGTACTCATTCATTCAGTCTCCTTCAGCAGGACTGCACACGCCATCACAATCGGTCCCTCTGCCACCTGCCCCCACACCAGGGACCAGTAAGGACAAAGAAGTCTCTTGCCAGAATTCCTGGCCATTACTGAGCATTCCCAAGTTAGCTCTCATCTGTGGGACCCTCAACCTCCATTTTAGCCTATTCCCTCCATTGGACCACCGCAATTAGAGACGCCTGCGTTGATATCTGATATCACCTACGTAAAACCAAACTGACCTCACACTTAAGGCGCCCTCCATGGATGAGTCGGCACCCTGGTGGATGAGTTGGTTTTGGTGGGTGAGAAACCTCATGCTGTACTTAAATATGGCCATAGGAGAGTCCATGTTCTCACCAATGGTGCTAATATGTTTTCTTCCCTTGCCATGCTGGCAATCCAAGATAAAATGGATTTGGAGCCAACCCATACTTTTTTATACTCTGTGTGTGTGTGTGTGTGTGTGTGTGTGTGTGTGTGTGTGTGTGATGCTGAAGATAAAAATAAGGCCTCCTTTATGCTGGGCAACCATTCCAACACTAAGGTACAGCTTTGGCACATTTTATTTGGAGAAATTTCTAATTTAACATCCAGTGGTAAGAAATACAGGGCTGGTGAGATGGCTCAGTGGTCTAAAGCACCTGCTTAGAACAAGCTAAGCTAAACAAAAGCACAGGGACCGACCGCGGTTCAATCCCCAGCACCACATGCCAGCCAGCCCCGCCCCCTGGTGGGCTGAGCTGGCCACACACATACACACAATAATAAATTTTAAAAATTTTTTTAAAAAAAGAAATACATCCCTGTGCCCTTTACCCAATTCCTCCCATTCTAACATGTTACAAAACTGCAGCACAATATTACAATGAAGATACTGACATTTATTAAAACAGTGAATATCTAGTATAGGCGATTTCCATCACCCTGACAATCCTGTGTTCTCTCTCTAGGGTTTCACTATGCAGCACAGCACAGTCTGGACTTGAGCTCACTTTGAAGCCCAGGCTGGCATGGAACTTGAAGTGATCCTCCTGCCTCAGCCTCCCAAGTGCTGAGATTACAGGTGTGTGCCACCACAACGGACCCACATTCCCTCTTGGAACCACCCCTCCTTCACCTCCACCATTGAATAACCTGTGCTCTGTAATGTGTCATCTCAACAATGCTGTGTGCGTGCAGGTACATGTGCCCATGGCTGTGCAGGCACATATCCGGAGGAGAGACACACTCCTGTAGTTCCAGCTAATCAGGAGGATGGGAAGAATGACTGTCACCTGGGCCACGTGGTGAGATCAGGTCTCGGAGCGGGAAAATGTGTACATGGAACAGGACAGTACGTAACCTTTTGGAGTTGGCTTTTTCGTTTCTTTCAATATTATGGATTGAACCAGGAGCTCTAGTACACTAAGCAAATGCTCTAACACTGAGCGCCCCCCCAGCCCAGGGATTTGATTGCCTTTGAATCAGCGTAATTTTCTGGAGGGTCACCTGAGTAGTTCCGCATAGCCATAGTTCTTTCCTCTTCACTTCATTGCTGAGTCATATTCTAAGGCCCTGGACGGACTACACTTCAACCATTTATTCACCAGTAGGAGAACATCTGGGTCACGCCCAGGTTTGGTTTTTTTTGGGTTTTTGTTTTTGATAAACAAAGCTGCTTTAAATATTTATCTTCAGGTATTTGTGGAAGTATTCATTTTACCAGTATAAGTGCCCAAGAGCACAATAGCTGGGTTTTCTGGTAGCTGAGTGTTTATTTAAAACTTGCCCCCAAAAACAAAATAAATAAATAAAACTTGCCCAAATGATGGCCAGTGACTCTCACCGCCACGACAGTACGTGAGTGAGTTTGCGCCATTTCAGCAGTTGCTAGTATCGCTGAATGTATCGTAGCCATTTTGATAGATGTGTAGCGATATCTCGTTGTTTTCATTCTTGGTTTTTCTGTTTTTGTTTGTTTTCTGGTTTTAGTTCTTTGAAATAAGGTCTCACTATGTAGCCCAGGCTGGCCTGAAACTTGCAGCAACCCTGCCTCAGTTTCCCAAATTGTTGGGGTTACAGACATGCACCACCATACTCAACCTTATTCTTAGTCTCCCCCACACCCCCCAAGAGTCTATTATGTTGCCTTCCCTGAAATGATCTTTTCTTTTTCTTTTCTTTTCTTTTTTTTTTTTTTTTTTTGCGGAACCGGGAATTGAACTCATGCCCTTGCGCTTGCCAGGCAAGCGCTCATTTTAATGAGCCAGCTCCCCGGCCCCGAAATGATCTTTCCAAATATGATTATTTGCCTTTTGTGTATCTTCTTTATTGGAATCTTTGTCACACATTCTAAATGGATTGTTTTCTTTTTTTATTGGTGAGTTTTTAACTTGTCTGGTTTTGTTTGTTTGTTTGTTGTTGTTGTTGTTGTTTCAGTACCAGGGATTGAACTCAGGACCTTGCACTTGCCAATTCCCAGCCTGCCATGCCAGCCCCACCTCTGGGGCTCACTGAACCAGCGATTGAGACTAGGCCTGCTGGCATGAGCCTGTAATCCCAGCTCTTGGGAAGCTGAAAACAGAAGAATCACTACAAGTCCGATCTGTGTAGTGAGACCTTGTAATCCCTGTAGACTCCATGCTAAATACAAAAAAAAAAAAAAAAAAAAAAAAAATTATTTCAAGTTAATTTTTAATATGTTGAAAGTTTGGGGTTTGTTTTGTTGGGAATCCTCCTGCCTCAGCCTCTCCCATACCCAGCTTTTTATTTTGCTTTTGTTCTTTTGGGTGTGTGTGCTGTTTGCTTTTATCTATGTATTTCCAATTTTTCCAGCACTCCCACCTCTGATGTTTTACTTTTTTCTTTTGCGGAACAGGGGTTGAACTCAGGCCCTTGTGTTTGCCAGGGAAGCACTTCTACTGAGCCATCTCCCTGGCTCCTTTACATTCTATTTTGTTTTGGGTGCTGGGGGTTCAACTCAGATTTCTACTACATATAGGATTCTACACTATTCTTTCAGCTCTTGAAATTGAGCATTTCCTCCTGGCTTTCATGGTTTCTGGAGAGAAATCTTCTATGCTTCAAATGGTTTTCCAGAACAGATAAGGTCTTTCTTCTTTCTGGTTGCGTGCATGTAAGTATATCTTTAGTTTCCAGAACTTTTG